CTCTATATATGTAGAGTAGGGAGGGTGAGTGTAAACCCATAGTACTTAGGCCACATGCGACCCATTGTACATCCTCCCGAGGAGTTGTCGTCGGAAACAGGTCACTAGGAGACATCTCCTTTATATCGGCAGGTGTAGACCAAGACTCGCCGAACACACACTCTCTCATTGACGATAACTCCGGACACTCGCATAAGACATGCCTGACAGTTCCATTTTCCTGTTCACACATCCAGCATAGAGGTGTGTCCACTAGTCCCATAATATGGAGCTGTTTCCTTAGTTGACAGTGGCCAGTCAGAAATCCTACTGGTCATCGACAGATATTTCTTCGGCGCCAGCTTCCCAGGGTCGCGGGTGATCCTTGCAGGTCTGCATTCTTTGATTCTATACCATCTCTTTAGGGATTGAGCATGGGTGTGACGTTTGCCTAGTTCCGCAATTGTCTAAGTCATCAAGCCGTAGCGTAGGTGTCACTGGGTCCTAAAATTCTTAGTCCAGCCGCTTCCTTGGCTAAAGAGTCGGCAATGCGATTACCTTTATTCCTGTCGTGTCCTCCAACCCATCTCAGGATAATGTTATTATCTACTGAGGCTTTGGCTAAATCTTGGTGACACTCAAATACTAGCCCTGAGGTAACACGTTATCTGTTCAAGGCTATTAGGGCTTGTCTACTATTAGTGCAGATTGTTATTTTTTTGCCAGAAATTCCTTTCCTGGTTATTTTTTTTGTGGTGATTGACATACCAGAGAGTTCTGTTTGAACCACGCTGGTATTTTTTTCCATTCCCCACTTAATCCTTAGGCTCAGTGATCTGGAATGAACTTCACAATGAGCTTTCTTTGGTTTTTGAGCCAGCTGAATATATGCGTATTGCATTTGTAGCATCTGACTCTGTGTTATGTTTTTTTTTTATAATTTGTAGGGTTTATTTTAACACCTCCATACGTGTGGAGATTAAAATAACGGTTTGGTGTTGAGAAAAACCTCCAGTTATATTCATTCATAATGATGACGCTCTCAAACACCAAAATTCTTCGTATACCGACAGGAGCTACAAATCGTCTTCAATGATAGGCAGAAGGAAATTGCAAAATTTTAAAGAAATTTATTTTTTGCTGAGAAAAGCATCGAAAATGGTGAAATTGGAACGGACATTGTCTGAGGCAGATGAGAGAGTTTCAACGTGAGGAAAGATATTACATATGTAGATGATTTCAATAATTTTATAAATAGAATAGATGTTTGAGTAAAAACATTCTATTGATTACCATGAAGATATTAACAGCGATGTGGAATATTTTAAACAAATGTCAGACCTCATTCCACCTAACTATGTTATTGTGATGGATAACGCAAGTTGTCATTCCAGAAAAGTGACAGTTCTATGAAAAAACTACAATAAAAATGAAACACTTCCAAAATACAAATCATGAAATTATAAAACAACAACAAAAATTAATTGGCGCTCCGGGGTGACTTCATTGATTCCAGTGGCGCATTTGCTTTTTCAGCAGCAGGAAAACCCGGAAAACCTGCAGCACCACATCATCTGAAGATCTTGGTCTGCCAATGTTCTCTCTCTCATAAAAGAAAATGTAGGGTGTCTCCAGAATACAAGGTAGCTTATCAGAACTAAATTTTATTCTCAAATTGTAAGTTTGTAATATTCAATTGACGATGTTGTTTATCTTTCGACGAGAAACGTTTCCATATTAATTTTTTTTACATTAGTTCGGGCAGTTTTTGTCTGACATTTCGCTCAACTGAACAAAGCTGGGACTGCAATGTTTGAAGATGGTAAAGTAGAAAGCCAAAACCTTTTTTTCTCAAAAAATAACCTCTTCTTAAAATATACCCCTTTCAATTTAATCAAATTAATATATTGAAAAATTATATCCCATGATCACTACTTGGTATATGTGTTTCTTATATTTGGAGGTTTACTTTTTATTTGAACACCGATTTTTGGAACCTTCAATTTCAAATATATTCGCTCTTGATATCTTAAATTGCGTCAGTAAAGAATTTTTTCCTTGAAAACTTCTTATCGTTATTAGTAAATATCTGATTCATTGGATCAAAATCCATTTGCATCATTGCAAGTTGCTTATCAGACCAAACTATTCTGTTATTCTTTGAGTATAGACAATTGTAAGTTTGTAGTATTTAATTGACGATGTTGTTTATATTCCGAAGAAAAACGTACCCACATTAATTTTCTATACATCAGTTTGGGCAGTTTTTATCTGACATTTCGTCTACACTAAACAAAGCTGGAACTGCATATAGTTATTTTTGTTTTGAAGAGATTATCTCAATATGTGTGGAAATTTGATTACGAAATTATGCATTTTGATGCGACGTAAAAAGTATCCTTATTAATCAATGCCGCTTATCATTTCACTTTAATTTTGGTTTTGCGATTTTAATATTATACATCGCATGTTGTATGATGAACAATCCATGACTGATTGCTGATATTTTGACCTACAAAATAGAACTATCTATTCATTCATTATTCAGTTTAAACATATTTACAGCATGAACTTTGTAAAGTTTTTTGAATGGGTAACCAAATTTTGGTAAAAAAACTGAATACAAAATTTTAAATTGTGAATCATATTTTATTCTGATTTGTGATTAAATCCCGAATGGACAGAAGTTCGAAAATTAAATTGAAAAAAACAATTTCACTAGTTCGGACTTCCGTGAAATTCATCATGAAACATTGTCAATCACCTTCAAACAAACGTGGGAAAAACAAGGTTTTTATAGTATGTATTTTTTCAATTTTACTTTAATTGAAAACAATTTTATTCATTATGTGAGTCAGTATGAAATAATTATACAATCTAATGAAGAAAACACCTTTTCCACAAAAGAAC